TCAAAGTAAGTTTAATGAATTAATTCCACTGAAAATAATAGAAGCTGCATCATGCTGTAGTTCATTACAGCTGTTCTATCTATAGTATCATCGTGCTTTGTTCTAACTGTAAAACGCAAAAACCCCACAACTTCACCACATTGTGGCTTTCCAATACTTGAAGGGAGCATATAAACAGGAGGGGGAATGGCTGTTTACAAGGATGGATAGTGATAGGAGAAGGAGGAATGGTTTTAAACTGAGACAGGGGAGGTTTAGGTTGGATATTAGGAGGAAGTTTTTCACACAGAGGGTGGTGACGCACTGGAACAGGTTGCCCAAGGAGGTTGTGGATGCCCCATCCCTGGAGGCATTCAAGGCCAGCCTGGATGTGGCTCTGGGCAGCCTGGTCTGCTGGTTGGTGACCCTGCACACAGCAGGGGGTTGAAACTGGATGATCATTGTGGTCCTTTTCAACCCAGGCCATTCTGTGATTCTATGATTTAATTTCCACAATGTCCCATGAACATACAGAACTAACACCACTTCCTACCAGCACAAGTGCATCATGGAATTAACATTACTTCATTGTGGAATTAGCATCCTTTGTTGGCACTCAGAGAGTGCAGCCTTTGTTCCACTGCTGTCACTGAGCTAGATTATGGTTCTGGACTGCAGTACAGAAATGCATCTCTCCACCTACTGGTGACCATACCATCTCTACATTAAAGCAAAAATAACGTATACATTATGTATGATTCCTCTGTTCTATAAATACTAAACTATCACATACAAAGCTAAATTTTTCACAATAATTAGATTCAGCTAATTTAAAAGTATAAAGCAAAATTCACTCCCAGATTATTCATTCTTGTTTTCATTCCACAGCGTGAACAGTCCTTTTAACAGTACAACCCACCCACAGACTTCTGGAAGTGAGGTTCCAGTCATCCCACTAAGTAATCAAGGCTGCATTTTTATGTGATTACCTGTGTGCATGTCTTTGTATTCTGCTCCAAAGTGCCTCCACTGGAAACCATAAACTGGTCCCAAGTCCCCCTCTTCTCTGGTGCAAAACCCCTGCTTATCCAGGAACTCACGTGATCCATTGGCATCCCAAATCTTCACACCTTTTGCAGAGAGCTCTTTGGCATTTGTAGAACCCTACAAAATACAGACAGTATGAAGTTACCTTCTAATCCCAGAACACGATTAGATGCAGAAGCATTAAGCTTTGCTACTCAGCAATATTCCTCCTTTTTTAACATAAAAGATGGACAATCTGATTAATGTACTAGTTGCTGCCCTCGCACTTGGGCAGAACAAAACTTATAAATACCTTACCAGACTTCAGCCTGAGGTGCGAAGCTGTTGTTTAACTCACAAAAAGTACAGTCTCAAGGTCACCTGCTGTATACAATTTCACATACACATCTACAGAGAACAAGATTTTACTCTCGTAAAATCAAAGTATGGCCTAGACAGTGTCTTTCCCAAGCCACTTCTAATGAAGTTAAAGTCCCTTTTGTTAACATGACAAAAATGAAAAACATGGCAAAATGAACTAGAAAAGTTTCACTGAATTCTGTAGTGAGTGCCAAACAGCACACTCAAAAATCCAATATAACAACTGTTCTGTTTGGGGAGTGCACAGTCTTTTATCTTTGAAAAAAAGATACTTTAAAAAATATCTGTGTATGTGAGTCCTGCTGTCTAGCAAGCCCTGGTCTAGGTTTTCCCACATCAGTACATCGCTACTATTTCAAGTAATCGCTAACATTTCAAGGAACACTTGTACTGCAACATATTATCTACAGAATTTTAGTATTCTTAACTGCTGCAATTAGCCCTACTGGATGTCATTTTTTACTACTTAATAGACCAGTGTTTACTTCAGTCTTACTGCACCTGTGTTTCCTCACTGCTTGCTTCTGTTCAAATCAATACAAGCTACCTACCTATTGAAAAGCAAATTATTAGACTGTTTGCAAATTACAATATTATTTCTTATTATTTCTTACGTAAACACTAATAAAAGACTCCATCAGGCAGCAAAACTCTCTTTTTAACTGCAGCAAAAGCTCTCCCTGTACCAGACTGTTTCCCTTAAAAAGAAAGAGAAGTAAAAAATGTTCTGATTTGTAGCAATGCAATAGTATTCACTGAAATACATGGAATGTTTTGAAAACAACAATCTTGTACACATGGGCTGCTCTGCTGTACGAACAGAAGCACCTGCACTTACATCAAATTCCTTAACCCATCTCACACCAGCACATCAGATTGATGCCATTCTCAGGCCTACTACTGATAGAGCCATCCAGATACAGCACCTTGATAAACCACAGCAGCTCCTCCAGCACTCCTTTCCAGAACACTCTCTTTGTTGTCAGCAGTGGGAACTGATCTGAAAAAGTTACAAGGTGTCAGAGATGATCAGATTTGTTGGGATGAAAACAGATAATCCTAGGGGTTAGAAGGGATATCTGGAGATCACCTATTCCAACCCCCAGTTAAAGGTTCCCTACGGTAGATTACACAGGAAAGCACCCAGGTCAGTTCGAAATCTCCAGAGAAGGAGACTCTGCAGCCCCTCTGGGCAGCTCGTTCCAGCGCTGTCAACCTCAGACTAATGCATGTTTTTCTCAGATGGAACTTCATGTGTCCCAGCTTGTGCCCACTGCCCCTTGTTTTGTCACCAGGCACTGCTTATAAGAGCCTGATCCCATCTGCCCAAATAACTGACATTTTTCAGCACACGGAAGGCAATGCCCCTGTCTGACACAGAGGTTTGCTGCTGGGAAGGGACGTGCCATGCTCTTACTGGGACCAAGACTGACAGGGGCACTGCAGCGCTAGATGGAGGTGTGGACCTACACGCGTTCAGCACACAAGGCCGCAGATGTATTCGCAACGGGAAGCAGAGCCTTAAGGTAATATTATAAGGATCTATCGCACTGACGGCTCTCCCTGCACTGAGGTCCCCTGCTTACTTTATCAGTGATGAGAGCAGCGGGGCCGGGCTCCAGACCCACAACCACCGCCTGCTTCTTCCCGCAATGCAGAAAACATCGCGGGGGGCGCCGAGCCGGCCCCGCTCCGTGCAGCTCCGTGCAGCCCTGCAGCCGGGCGGCAGAAGATGGCGGCCGAGCCTCGGGGCGAGAAGTCGCCTCTCAGAGAGAACGGGGGCGAGCACGGGAGGGGCTGAGGGGGCTGCGGGCAGCTCCCGGGGCAGCCTGCAGCCGGAGGGACCGCGGGTCCCGGAGATGCCGACCTCTCAGACTGTACCGCGCCTGCATGCCGAAGACGGAGATGGTGCCGGTGCCCGTGCGGTCCTCCTTTCGGTGGCCGTGCTGCAGGATGTGCCGGACCTGCTGCAGGTACTGCGGCTCGCCGCCCTCCAGGCCGCTCGACGGCTCCTCCGCGGCCGGCATGGCGGGTGGGAGGCGACCTGAGCGGTCCGCGCGGCCGGGCGCGTTCCTGCCGCCCGCCGAGCCCGCCAAAACCCTTCCTTCCCGCGCAGAGGCACGCAGGGGCGGGCTGCCGCCTCCCTCTCCTCTCCCCGCCCCATCCGGGAGGCGCCCTACGCGCCGCCTTCTGCTCAGGGCGGGACCGCGGCCGCCCGTTGTCTGGTCCTCATCGCGGTGGGCGAGGTGTGAGGGCTGCAAGGGCATTGGGGCGGTATAGCAGCGGCAACTATTGTATTAACATTTATAAAGGTGCGTGCTAACATCGTGCATCTCATACGTTTAGCTAAATGCGTCCTTGGCACACAGAGGATTCTCAAAGCCTACACTCAGAGCTTGTAGCAGCCTGTCTTCGTAAAAATACATGCCTGAAGTGAACGTTATTTGGGCTAAGGGCAGTGCAAGCAAAACTGGAAGAAAACACATCCGGTTCTCCTGTGAGGCTGACATTTTCAGACAGCAAATGCAGCTGTGGGGAGGGGGGGTTCTGAGATAAGTATGGGAGAATCTAGTTTCCACTTGGCTGCCTAACCAGTCAAGAGATTCTGAATGTTGCTTCATCAGTCACAGAATCACAAGAGTTGGAAGGGATCATCCAGCCCAAGCCTCTGCTAAAGCAGGTTCCCCACAGTAGGTTGCACAGGAAAGCATCCAGGGGGGCCTTGAGTATCTCCAGAGAAGGAGACTCCACAGCCCCTCTGGGCAGCCTGTTCCAATGCATCACCCACAAAGTACAGAGGTTCTTCTTCATGTTTTTATGGAACTTCCTGTGTTCTAGTCTGTGCCCATTGCCCCTTGTCCCGTCACTGCACATCACGGACAAGATCCTGGCCCCATTCACTTGACTCCCCCCATTAGATATTTATAAACTGTGATGAGGTTCCTCTCTGTCTTCTCCAGGTTAGGCATCCCCAGGTCTCTCAGCCTTTCCTCATAAGGCCCCTCATCATCTTTGTAGCCTTCCCCTGGGCCCTCTTTAGAAGCTTCCTGTCTTTCTTGAACTGAGGATCCCAGGCCCCCACTCAAGTTGGCCTCCAGTGTCACTCCTCTTGGGCTGCTTTTATGCTGTACCTTCTCTCTAAGGGCAACACTCAGTGCTGGCTGTAGTTGAGTTTCACCTTGCCAGTATCCACTCATCTCGCCTGTTTTTCAGCATAGTTTTATGTTCTGAATTTTGCTTTCTGCACAGTTCCTGATATAGTGTCATCTGAAGATTTACGAGGTTTATTCTCTCTGTTGGCCAAAACAGACCAGCTCTTCTCTGAATATTTCTTTGTAATAGGAGATCTTAGTAGTTAAGTGTTTGGTTGAGGTATGCACATCTCTCAGATAGAGCCCGACTTTCTAACAACAGGTGTGATTCCAGGAGTTACAGCTGCTTAATCTCTCAAGATTAGTGTTCCGTAATATAAAAGAAGTTGAAGGAACAGGAACTGTATGCTAGAAAACGTTTTTTTTCCCATATATTTGTCCTGTAGACAGGAAAACGGATCATTTCCACTACTTAAAACAATTAAATTGCCATTTCCCTTTTGTCTCCTGTGTGGCTTTATACATTTTGAAATGCATACATTTTATTTTGCAAAGATACAGTTGGAAATGGTGAATGTAAATGTGTGCAAAAATGTTCAATCACAGCCAATAAAACCAAAACACCTAGAGCTTTGCTTCTGAGAGCTGTATCTGTTTTAGTGAATATAATTTGCAAATACCATGCAAGCTAAAGACAACAATGTAGGAAAAGACAAACATCTTTTCTGATAAAGGGTTCCCTGTTAATTATGGCTCCAAAGGCAAACTGCAAGTAAAAAGTGCTAAAGGCAGAAGACTTATTCATTTATGCATATTCAGAAAAGTCATTTAATGTGTGTTACAAACATCAAAAGCAACTGGAAGAAGAAATGGGGCATTTTCATTGGAAAATAATATGCTATATGCATATGGTAATCTGGTTGTTTCAGGCTTAGCTGAATACGCAGTATCTTTAGGGAACAATTTTGAAAAGGCTTAAAAATTTGCCTTGAATTTAAGTATGCAAATAGGAGTTATTTGCATGTTTACAGCTAATTATTTCCTTAAATCTTTGCATAACCGGAGCCATACATGATTCCTCAAAGATCACCTAATACATAACATAAACAACATTTTATTTAAATAAATGTCTCTCAAAGTGGGCTTGAATTTGTATTTCAATTAAAAGATTGCTACAGTCATCGGTTGCTAGCTCATATGTCACGGTATTTATTAAGCAAAGTTTTATTTATATGCAACTATTTTAACTGTAGTTATTTAACAAATAGCTGAACATTTAGTTTAGGAGTATTTCACCTAAGGAGAGTTCGGGGATTGAGATTTCCCACATCTTCGTTCCTAGGAGAAAAGAAAATAAATGATCATTTTTTTTTATTTTTTGATAGAAAGATTTGGAAAAATCTGTATATGGGGAATGTACAAATATCCTGCTGTGGAAACGTATATGACACATAAGAAAGACTGAAACGATTTTCTCTCTCTTTTTCCCTTCCTGTAGATCTTCCTCTTTTCTTGCGGAGTTCCTATTCTTTCCTTTTGTCATGCTTCCACATAGCCCAAATCTGTTGCACAAACAGAACAGAAAATGGTACTGCGATTTGGAGATAAGTGCTACCACACTTTCTCAGGCATGAGATGGCTACACAAGTTGTGTTGCACTAGAGATTGAGGCTAAAAATCATAATCACACTAAGGAAATTTATATTGTCATCATTAGACCACGAAGTTTAGCCTTACATTATCTGAAAGAGTATATGCTATCAATACCAAGTATAAGTTAGAAAGAATTTTGAAGGAAAGCAGTACATAAATGATGCTGAGCATTTCACTTTATACGCTTCTAACTATTGGAAAATATATGTTTTGAGTATAATACTCATATAATTTCACCAGCATAAACCTAAATCAGAGTTCATGGTGAGGCTTATCATATTCTGTCTAAATTCTGTAGGCCACCTCAGCCTCTCTGATGGTAGAGATTTATCTCATCTGTTGAAAAATTGTGAATCTCTCATCAAAAGAATGACAAAAAATGACAAGAATGTCCTCTAGAAGATCTGTTTGTGAGCATTGGAGTCCACCAGAGCTGCACATCTTGGAGACTTCGCTGGGACTTTGTGGCTAGCTCCATGGCAGTGTGATGCCAGTAGCAACATGATGCCACTTAAGAACTCTGCTACCTTTCCTGGAGTTTCTCCATGAGATTAGAGAATACAAAATTTGTTCATTCTTGCAGCCTGTTTCTTCCCTCCCCAATCTCTTAAGCATGGAGAAGGATCTCCATGAGCCCTTCCTACAAAATTATTTAGAAGGCCATGGGAAAGATCTTTCTGTGAACACTCCTGCAAGTCAAATTGCAGATTCTGTTAGCAGCGTTAACATGTTACACTGAGTAGAGCACTGATAAAGTGAAAATTTTAAGGCAAAACAGCTCTTTCAAATCATGATGTTGATTCAACATTGCAGCCCATTTTTTGTCAAAAATAATATGGAACATGCTATTAAACACAACCTAAAATTAAAGGAGAAAAAAAGATGAGCAGTGGTAATTCCATTTTATACTTGATTAATGAATGCAAAGACATGCTATCTGATGCCAAAGCTCCGGATTGTGGTTGTGAGGCAATTCTTTTCTGATGGAATATTTGTCATTGAATTACCTCATCCCAGATGTTACTTAAAGATTGAGGGTTTTCACAGTTAAATAAGTGAAGTCTTTTAATATCATAATGTCTGTGTTTTGCAGGCTAGAACACTGAGCATTTATTTTTGTTTTCTGTAACACTTGTGTTTGTCTTTCAATCAAAGTGTTGTTTCCAAAGAGACAGTCTTGAATATAGCATGACAGAATCCTGTTCCAACTAATGTTTATTGCAGTGTAAACGTCTCTTATGAAGAGCTGCATTCTCTGTAAAACAAGAGAGAAAATGAACTTACCACTTAAAAATTCTGCTTATATAGTTGCAGTGCTTTTCCAGCTACGTATTCAATGAATTCTGCACTCTTTGGGTCTAAGTGGGGAGGAACTTTAATGGTGAAAGTAGGTGAAGTCAAAATATTCACATCTACCACGGTTTCGTTTGTTCCAGAAACATCTCCAGGTACCACCTTGAAGAGAGCAAATCAGTACATTAGCACTACAAATAGCTGTGTGCTTTCCGTTTTGTTTATGGTTACTTTCATATTTAGTAAGGGAAAATTAGATAGAAAAGTATTTTAATCTTGTCTACCTTCTTTAAATTACTTTCTTATGAAAAGACAGTGGATGCCTCGAATTTATGCCAAAGACTATTGTAAGTGGTGGGAAGATGTGATATGGCACTGCAAGACCAGCTTAAGAACTGCAAGTTAATATTTAAACCATAAACTACATTTACAAAAAGCTTCTGATCATGTACTGAAAACCTGTGTGTGAGTTGTTCTCACTGATTTCAAGAGGTTTGCTTGACTGAAGTTATGCATTCCTATGTGTTTTTCTAAACCAGACTTAGTTCCGTAGCTTTATTTTCCTGAGCAGATAGCTTAGACTTGGTTGGGAAAGTATGCTTAAATATTGCCTATTCCCTTGTTCCTGATCTTGTGTTTTGTTTTCTGGATTTTCATAAAGGTCATGTAGTAATAGTAGTGCACTGGATTTCTGAGTTGAAAGGGAGAACAGAATTTGTCCCCAGCCCAGTAAAATCAATTTAATTTACTTTGGATGTCTTCATGTGGGTGAGATGTAGATAATCATGATGTACTTCAAGTCATATTGACAGCTGCTGCTTATGATATGCAGCTTCCACTGCAATAACCTGCATAGCATTTGCTTTCTTTGAGCTTTGTGATATATAGGTACAGACACAGACACGTAGCTATATATTCAGCAATCCAGTAAGGATGCATTGCTGGCTAGTACAGTGACATTTATCCAGGAAGGTAATTGCAGGCCTGTCAAAGCTGCTAGTGTCAATTTACTCTTCTCAGCAATTATTTAGGTTAGCCTGTCAGCCATCCACCTGACTAAAAGGATTTAGAGGAAAATAGTTTCTAATCTCTGGAGATTCAGCTCACTGAAGGATTATTAAGCTCATTGAGGGATTATTAATACATTATTAATGTATATTCAAGATGAGATGATTAGGGACTGTATCTTGTAAAACCAAAACTTACATGTATATGAACATCCACAGTTCTCAAGAATACACCTAAGAGCAAGGCTTAGATGGAAGACAGTACTGTGCAATAGGTCCCCTTAGTAGGTAACCCTTACCTTGACTATATTGAAAATATTTTCTGGTCCGATGGTCATATTGGATAACTCAGACACCCACCCAAATCTTTCTTTCATTTTGTTCAGCAAGTAGGAAGTGTCTTCTGTATGACGCTGAACCATCTGGAGAATCTGCTCGTACTGCTCACCAGAGAGATTAACCAGCTTAAAGGCTTCATCAAACTTCATGTGCAGTTCAGGAACATTTGGGCAATCTGTTTAAAAACACCAGCCAACGTGAAGCTTATAAGAAAACAAGATGTCTTGTACTTGCTTTTCTCTATATGAAGTACAGAAATATAGGAAAACTACAAAAAAAGTCTAGCAATGGGTCATATTTCTGAGTTCATGGTTAAACTATGCTAAACAAAACAAACAAATTCTTACTGACCTATGTTGGTAGGTTTCGTTTAGGCTTGCAATGACTGAATGGATTAATTATCCTATTTGCTGTATTACAACTTGCTAAGTTCTTTAAGGTTTGTACCATGCTGCTTGGCAATAGATCTTCAAGCATGCTAAAGAATCATAGAATAGCTTGGGTTGGAAGGGATCCCAAAGTTCATCGGTTCCAACCCCCTGCCACAGGCAGGGATACCTCCCACTAAATTGGGCACTAGATCGGGTTGCTCATGGCCCCACACAACCTGGCCTTAAACACCTCCAGGGATGGGATGCCCACAACCTCTCTGGGCAGTCCGTTTCTGCATCTCACCACCCTCTCAGTGAAAATTTTCCTCCTGAAATCTGATGTCAATTTCCCCTCTTTTAGTTTAAAACCATTCCCCTTTGTCCTACACTGTTATGTGTAATACACAACTGTGGACAAAAGGATATTTTAGTGAGTTGGAAATGGTCCAACACTCTTTTCAAAATGTCACTGGATGATTAACATCTGCCACACTGGAGATACTCTGATATCTCAGTTTAAGCGTTTTCTGTGACTTTGAAGATATAAATAACTCTGGATAAGCCGTAACGTTATGCTACAGCAGGAGTCCTGAGAGTATTTCTAGGTATTGCAGTCTGAATTTTTTCCAGCTGCCCATGTTGTCTGCAGGAGAAACCAGCATCAGGAATGTTGACTTCTCCTCGCTTTCTGCTCGGCGCTTCTGCACCAGGCAGGATCAATTGCTGCCTCACCTCTTGCTCTGCTGGAGAATGGCAACTCTAGCGATGTCCATAGGTATTTTGTTATAGAGTATACAACTTTGGATCTCCATCAGTATGCTAACAACTGAGTTATACTGACACTGTGTGGAGACAGCAGGGAAAGGTAATTGAAATCTTCTGGACGTTTTGAATTTATAATCACAGTCAAAAGTCTGTGACTGAATGTTAATTCCATAAATACGGAAAGAGCACAGTAGAAGGTGACAGCCTGAAGGTGTACAAACCAATGGCCAACACGCTGCAGAAATACATCAAGAAATATCTATTTACCATGCAAAAGATTGTCTTGACATTTCTGACATCTCTCATGAAACTGTGTGCATCCAGAGGAATTCTCTCGAAGCTCTTTGCACAGAGTCCTTTGACGTCCTGACACAATTTTCGAGAACATGCCACCCCTGTCAGAACCTAGGATGAAATTACAGTATTTTTAGACTGTCATTAAGTTGAACATCCTGACAAATACATGTTTGTTACCTAATATGAGTGCCAAGCAAAATATAGGAGTTAAACTTCCAAAAGCAGAGGTTGGGAGAAGATGCAAACCATGTTTTCTTCCAAAGAATTCATGTCACTGTATAATTCCCTTATAAATGGTAGCGTATTCCCCACTGACAGCCAATTATTTTTTATTTCTATTTTTATTAATAAGATAGGAAAGATAAAGCTTATTTGCATTCTAGATGTTGACTGAGGATTGTTTCCCCCATTGAGAATTATCACCTGATACTAAAGTTATGCCCAGAATTTTCCTGGTTACTGGAAAATCACTTGGCTGGTTTGTATGTGACTGGTACATGACATTGCTGCAGGAGCTTTGGGCAAGACTTGCGGCTGTCAGGCAAGGGCAGGGATATGTTGTGACATCTCACAGAATTTTTAGAGCTGGAGACATGTCAGTATGATATGATATACAAGTCTTCCTGACAAATGCTGATATCAGACCTATCAGTCAATCTTTTGAAAACCTGCATCTGCTATGAATTCAGGAACTCCTGAGAAACTCCTGCAGACACTTAGAGCAATGCCATGAAAATCAGACTGTGTAGGACACCCAAGTCACACTGCAGTATTTCTATGAGTTTTCCAGATGATTTTTACCTTTTAATTTAACCAATGAATTTATGCTTAACCCATGCCTATTTAACCAAGTAAGCCCCCAGAGCTCCCATACAGGATGTAAAATTAATGCACCACAGACTGATCCACTAGCCCTGAGTCAGCTGTCCTGAGAGGTTTGATGTCATTGACAGCGCAGCTGATTTTTATTTCCAACACTTGCCTTTGGCTTGTTCTGGCAAATCTCTTCTATTATCTCTGTATTCATCGAATACCTCAGTAATCACCTCACTGACACCTTCAAACACTGTCTTGCTGAAATCAAAGACTGTCTGCAGGAAGGCGGGTATACCCCAGTCTTTCTGTAAGCCATCATTTCTGGTAGTGGCCTCGGGTAAAGCAGGCATGCTGGGGGATTCACTCAAATCCAGATCAGACATGAAATATGTTTGAAAGGATTGGTCAAATTCTTTTTGCATCTGCTTGAAAAACATGAAACTTCTGTCAAACACTGAGCCCATGTCTGATAACAGTTGGCTAAATAGGTCTTCCATTTTTACTAGTTGAGTATCCTCTTTCTCAGGCTTTTCATTAATCTGGATGTCTTTTCCTTGATCTTCATGAAAAGGGAAAATAAGTGGAGGTATTTTCCTCAAAAAATCTTCAACCTGCATACAAGAAAGAGATCAGCTGCTTGGTAGTTTATAGAATCACAGAGTCATGGAATCACAGAATCAAAGAATCATAGAATCATAGCATCATAGAATGGCTTGGATTGGAAGGGACCTCAAGGATCATGAATCTCCAATCCCCCTACGGCAGGCAGGGCCTCCAACCTCCATATCTAATACTAGAGCAGGCTGCCCAGTGCCCCATCCAACCTGCACTTGAACACCTCCAGGGACAGGGCATCCACAGCCTCTGTGTGCTCTTCACCACTCTCTTGGTAAAGAACTTCCTCCTGACATCCAACCTATATTTTCCCTCCCTCAACTTAAAACCATTTCCCCTTTTACTGCTGTTATCTACCCTTGTAAAGAGTTGATTCCCCTCCTGTTTATAGGCTCCCTTTAGGTACTGAAATGCTGCAATGAGGTCACCCCTCAGCCTTCTCTTCTCCAGGCTGAACAAGCCTGGCTCCCTCAGCCTTATCAGTTTTTCTTCTCTCAGAGAAGTAGCTCTAAATTTTTTTTCAAGTACCTCTAGAAACAAGGGACTCTTTCAATAACCATAATCACAGCATATTCTCCAAAGAAATTTAAGATGCTAGTGAAAGTTCATTTAGTCTAAATCATTAGATACAAATCTGATCTGGAGAAAAATTGGTTCAGTCTGTTGAGGCTCAAAGTTAGTACTGGCTTCTGGGTTTTATCCAACAAACAGTTTGGACTTTATCTTGGAAACTTTTCTGTGGTAGTTTTGTGTCATGTAGAGAACAGAGGGCAATTGTTCTCACCGTGACCTATAAACGCCCTTGTGTCTCACCAATGGCCAAGTGCTCAAATTCCTCTGCAAACCGAAACCCATTAAAAGCAATAAAACAGTGTCTCTGAGTCCATGATTTGATGATGGAAGAGACTGAACAACAGTTCAGCTCTGGGAAGTTCCTGTTCCCTACACCTCAGCTACTCATCCCTGCTTCATGCTGTGACACAGTGCCTTTGACTGAGCAGGTGCAGTGCTGTGTGGAGCCATGCTTTACGGCATTAGAAAGCTGGTAAGAGTTAAGAAACACTGTGCCAAATACATGTGTACATGTATACCTGTACACTGAGCTCACAGAGGAAGTTATCAATAGTGTCAAAGACAGTAACAGTTCATAACATAAATAGTCTATGCATTATTTTTTCCAAACAGCTATTGAGCATTGCAGTGCAACTCCTACTGTGAGATACGTCACTGTATATCTGGTGAGACTCCACAGGAGGGAAATGATCAGTGTCCACGGTGTCACAACAGGGTGCCCCAGAACTTGTTTTAGCTCTGTGTTCAATAAATGTAATTTACTATAGGCTGTGCCTGGTTACTTCGCATTTCCAGACCTTCCAAATTCAATCAGTTTTAGTAAGTTGATGTCACTGACAGACTGGCCACTGCAAACATAAGCTGTGCTCTCTCTAAAACTGTTGGGTAAATTCAAGAACACTTGCCAGATACAAAATTTCTTCTTACCTTGCTTCTAAATGTTGATAAACCACGTCTGCAAGTCGTATAGAATCGCATGCAGGTACTTTCTAAGCAAGATTCACATTCATCCCATAGATTTTTCAAAGATACTTGGCATTGTCTTTCTTCTTCTTCTAATCTTTCCTTTACTTCATCCATAAGTCGCAAGGCTTCCTGAATAAGAAAAAAGATTCTGCTGATTGCAGTTTTCAGGTTAATATTGGGAATGTTAATTCCAGAGCTGATTGCTCATTTTTGTTATTTAATCCTTCACTACTGGGGTAGGATGTTTTCTCAGCTGCAATCACATATGGAGGAACTGAAAATTGAAAAGCTTTTCCTTACGGAGTCTTCCTGATGTTCTCTCAACAACATAGTGCAGCCTACATAACCAAACAGATCTCTACGGCCTACCTGGATTGTTGAGGCTGTGAAAAAACCATGAAGCTTTCTGTGCAAAAAGCATTCAAGCTCTCACAAGGTCAGGAGTCAATGCAAGTCTTTTATCTCCACACTGAGTATTCATCTGTTCCCCAAACAGTCTTTTCTGTTACTCTGCTCTGTTCTGCAAGGGCCTGTGATACTTCACAAATTTAGGTCCTTGCCATACATAAATTCCTTCTCTAATGCAGAAGTATTCAAAAGTACATAACTCCATCTTTTGGGGATTATTCTAATGGAAAGGCTGTAGGGAAGGGATTTCTTGCCTCTGCTGCAGAAGCATAAGTAACAATTGCAATAAGCATTTTAGAACAGATTGGGCAACGGAAAGACAGAAAACTTTTTAGTAAAAGTAGATTGCACATCATTAATTTCTTTCTCCCAGTGCAATATATTTTAACACTTTATGTTTCCAAACAATATTCCAAGTTGTTCCCAAGCATGGCAGAAACCTTTTAATTCATCAGTCGTATTCCTTTCTGGCAGTATTTCATGAACAGAAAAGTCTCACAGAAAAGAAAACTTCTGTCAGAATGCCCTTGGTAGTGCTGGTAATTGTGATATTCATGGTCTGTGTTTAATTATTTCTGATCTTTCTAAATATACTTATTCAGGGTTTCATAAACTTTTACTGTGGGGATAAGTTCTGGGTAAATGAATTCATGCAGCAAGAACCAACAACAGACTGGATAATGGGAGTGTACCAGTGTACCTAAAGTTAACAAGTTACTATGTGCTTTTAGATTTGATAATATGAACAGTTCAAACTAATCTCCAAGCTGGGCCAAGATGGAATTTTCCTCTAAGTTCACTGGAACTAATAGTCAGTGCAGACTGAAAGCTTCAGTGAGAACTGGAGCCTTAGAATGCCATGTTCCTGCAAACACTCAAACTCTTTCTTAAGAAACTGCAAAAAGTAAAACAATGTTCACTTTTTCAGAAATGTGAATCAAGGCTAGAAAATGGTGTCTGTTGGCCCAGCTCCTGCTTCAGGGACAAAGGCAGTGAGAACTTTTACAAAGCTGCTGTAAGATTTTTCTTCTGCTAGGGAGGGAAAGCAGAAGCTGGGATTTCCTATTACTCCTGGCTTTGCTATGTGATTGCTCCTCAGAGTGTACATACAGTGTGGTTTTCATTCTTCCCAGAAAAAGGGAGACTCCAAGGGAGTCTACCCATACTCTACCTCTTCAAGAAGGTGCACTAAAATCTATGTACAACCTGCTTCATCTTGGATTAAAAATAGGTGCAACTTTAAGAACAAGGAAGCAAACAGACAAATGAAAACAGATGCACTTGTTACCTGTTTTTCTTCACTGCTCTTCTTCAAAGTTTTCATCAGATCTATGTGCTTATCTTCATTTCTTTCCATCATAATTTTCATGTGCTTAATACCAATCAAAGCTTTCTTTACCTCTTCATCTACGTATTTCTCCCCAACTTCAGATAAAGCTAAAAAACCCAAATTATATAGCGAGTTAATCCAATTTTAATACTAGCACAAATGACTATTCTCTAATGACACAGTGAAACAGCTTTATGTTTCCCTACAACTCATGGGGAAGTGAATGCTGAATGCAGAGCCAACTCATGGGATAGTGAATGCTGAATAACAGAGCCAAGACAATTTCTATCAGATAAGAATCTGGCGCAGAGCCGTGTCCAGTGATTAGCTGTGTGCAGCTCAGTCTATGTATTTAGCTATCCCATTTCTGATCTCTGAACCCCAGAATAGTTGAGACTGGAAGGCAACCCTGGAGATCACAAAGTTCAACTCCTTGCTGAGAGAAGAGTTGATGAGAGCAGGGTCAAGGAGCGCAGGATGCTCAAGGCCTCAGCCTGGGTTTTGGGAATCTCCTAGGATTGCTCATCAGTTTCTTGGTGACATAACCTACATAGTTATTCTTAATCTGAAATCAATCAGTGACAGTTTCACATAACAGCTTGAAAATGTGGATTACAGGAGTCTTCAACCTACTTTCCTAAAATATAATCTCTAGACTTCCTGTGAGATAATGGCCGTAGAGTTTTGGTGAAAGGCAGGTGGTTCTTCACATTGGACCTCGAGTCTCTGCCTGAGTGCAAATCCCTTGTTCTCTTTGCAAAAGTGCTATGAATATTACTGAGGCTATAAAAACAACTAAAGTGCACATTACTTGCATGCACGTGTCATTCATGTCTTCTACTTTAGCCTTCTTCCTCTCTCCTAGCATTCTATTTGTCACAGAAATATTTTTAAAATACATTGAAGCTAAGGAATATTTCATGGCTGATCCTGCTGGGATTCTGACCTACACAATAAAGCCATGCTTCAAGGTGAGTACATGCATAACAGCTGGGTTTTTTTTCTTTATTAAGTCATTCTATTGCAATTATTTCTACTAACTACATTTTATAGCTTAGCATAATAAAATGTAAATCACGTGGTTTAATTGTTAGGTTTGATTTATACTCTAATGATCTATGATGGAGCAAATAACCTATTAAAATGTTGCAAACAGTTTCTATAAGGGAGGCTCTGTTAATCCCTCTAGTTTCTCATTTCAGATGTTATCTCCCAGTCACACACGTGGACACTTTGCTTCCACAAAAGTCAGCCCACACTTAAAAACAGAACCTCTTGACTCCAGTGAGCGTGGAAGGCAAAGCAAACCAGAGCAAGCCTCGGTGGAGACCTGGGCCTGAAGGCTTCCAGCACACCTCTGCATACTTACTCTTCAGGTTTTCCCGGAGGTTCATTTCCTCCTGCCTGGTCGGTGCACACTGGTGACCATTCAGCCATAGCAAGTGTATTATAAATAACCAAGAGGACTTCATGTTCTTTCTGTTAAAGAAGCAAGTTGAAACAGTTAAATGTAAGCATCTTGATGGTGCTCAAATGCCTAGGTGCAGTTTTTACTAAGTATAATACAATCCTGTTATTTTTTTCTCTAACTGTAACTTCTCAGATCTATAACATGCTCTTAAATGATACTCCTAGTGAAAACACATGAGTAAGAAGCTGACCTCATTCATTATGTTTCTATTAATAGATTAATTCCAAACAGGTCTAAATAGATTCATTCTACTGAGTTTACACAGCGGTGTAATAGAACCAGGACACAGATAAATAAAACTGCAGGCTTATAGAGCTCACTCTTTCTCTTTCTTACCTTTCAAAACATGCTCAGTGCTATAATGAAATCCTTTTACTCTTTTTATCGTTATTTCATGTTACAAGTGTTTCTATGCTAAACACTGCTGCCAGATTTAAATAGGGAAATTTCTAGAATGTTGTTCCTATCCGTATCTCCAAATACGCATTGTCCTCCAGGATAATACTTAACATAGCAAAGGCAGTAATAGGTGTGCTAAGAAACTGGCAATTAGATCAGTCTTAAAAATAAACACATCAGAAATTAAAAGAAACTCCTGCAAAATAAGGGGAAGAAATGCCATTTATTTTATTTCCCTCCCAGAAACAGTTTAATGAGAAAGATTTGTTTTTTAGGAACCATTCAACTACACTTTATAGTTTTCATCTCATTGAGTGAATGCAGTGTTTAAGTTCCTTTTTGCTAGCCAGTGCAGCCTTCTTGAAGATGCATATAGCAGCTGCAAATGCATATGTAAATTAAAAGCCTGCATTTATTTATAGCCTGGATTTACTTATTTAGTCACTTGCACATTGTAAACTTACATTTATAGTGAAAGATTGATCAACTTTGCAAAGGAACAAACCCCCTACAAAAGATAAGTAAAAAACCAACATATTTACCATTAATACTGAAACACCTCTTCTGCAAAATTGCTGCCCGCGTCGGGAAGCGCTGGGGCTGTGCTCTGATCTAATTGCTGGGAGTGACAGGGATTTTGCCATGTTCGACTTATCTGATGACAAGGTATTTAATCCTATTAGTGGTACATTCTGTCATTAGGCTGGGGCGTATTTGTGCGTAAGGGACTTCATGCTCAGATGTGTGAGTAAAGCCACTAGGGGGAGCGCTGGATAGAATTACGTAATGAAACGCTGTATCTTGGTAGTCTTTTCGTCTTTCCAGATCTTTCATCATCTTGCCTTTTACCTTAGGAGGCATCTGCAGCTTATGTTCTTAGTGAAAATATTACAAGTAGCATGGCTAAAAGTAGCTTCCAACATTTAATCTTCAGTGTAGCTTATTTTGCTATAAGAAACATTGGATTACGGAAAGGCCTTTTTCATGTAACTTCTGAGGGTTCTTTTCTGAAGGAAATCAAAAGAATTGGGAAACTTAGGTGTAGGCTGTCATGCAAGTAGACTCAGAAATAAGATAAGCAAATTTTGGCATTTTGTACATCATTAAACTTGTTCACGTTTCGGGGCCTTGCCCTTCAATGATTTTCTTCAGATAATCCATGTGTGTGAAATATGTCTGGGACCTGACCTGCACAAAGTCTTAAGTGTTTTGAAATGAAATGCTTAAGTAATAGCAGATGCTTGATATAAAATATGCACAAGTATTGTTACCAGGTTATATCCCACCTGTGATGTTCACCAATATTACCCCAGTAAAGCAGAAGAGTAGACAGGGAATGTCTACAGCTCATGCTCTGTAACATCAGTTTTAAAATAACCCCCCTTTTTTTAAATTTACCTCATAGTTCATAAGAGTCAGTTGATGACTGATGATCAAGATCCAACATGATTAGTTCTACTTGGTCAGGAGGTGTATCAGGAAGAATGGATGACCAATTAGCACTTGATGGAAGCTGGAAGTCCTCAGCTTGCATTACAAATTCCAATTGGAGCTATAGGAATTTGTCTCACTTTCTGAAAATGACGGGGAATATATATGAATTTATGGTTCACTGAAATGCTGCTGAATTCTTGAGCAAGATTCCTTAGTACACAGAATCTTTCAAGATCCCTTTTGTGACAATACACAAAGGAACTTAGGAAATTTCAACCTGAGGACAAAATTATCCATAGCTAGTATGCCTGATAAAGTTAATCTTTTAAATTTAACCTTTGAAATGCACTTTGGAACTCAACACTGTTCTTTAAATGTAATTGCAAGTAGTGATCACTCTGGAAATCTTTTCCAGTTCATTTCAATTTTGAACTTAATTAAGCAGAAGTCTAAAAAAATAAAAATCAGGTTACATATCAAATATCCACTCTATTTTCTTTTAATGTTTTAAATCTGGTTTGCAATGAGTTGTCACGAATACCTACAATTTTAATGTTAGCTGATGTGTTCAGCTGTTTCCCCTTAACATTTTATTTTCCTCTAAATTTTAATGGATCAATCACCCATAGTGTGCCATTTCACCACAGTATGGTACTGACATGTTTGTTTTTTCACAATCAGATGATTTTCACAAGCAGTGCTCACTGCTGTGGTTGCAGATTATGAGGTAGCCTTGTAACAGCTCTCATACAGGAGACAATCTGAAGGAGCAAATGTTAGAAAGAGTGTTTCTCTCCTGCCCAACTATTATTCCAGTACACTTGTATTCTTACTGAAATTAATATGTATACATTGGAAAAAATAAGAAAATAACTTGAGAATGGATTTCAGGAAAAAATGGCTTTTTGCAAGACACTAATAAATTCAAACTGAATAATTGCAGTGATTCACATAGACACTAAACTTGAACCTAATTGAACTCTAGCAATGGAAATTGCAGCTGATTTCTGGAGTTTCCTTCTGTCCTACTGGATGACCTCCAAAAATGTATAACATTTTTTACAATGTACAGTGACTTCTCCCTTTTTTGTTGATCCATTCCACCTGGCAGGATTAAGAATCAAGAAATATGTTGAAATGGAATTTCCTGTGTTGTACTTCAGCTGTAGGGTTTTGTTCCAGTTATATATTTATACAATTATTTGCTGTTTGGAAGAGTTGTTTTCTACTATGTCTGAGACAGGCCAGTCATATAACGATCAGACTGAGAATATGTGGATGCACTTACAGACCCTATGAGTCATGCAGTGCTAAATCTCTTGGTACTTTTATGAAATAGTCTCCAGTTGTACAAAATCTTAGCTAGTTTTTTTTTGTAAGCACACCACTAGGTCCACTGCTTTCCATTGAAATTAAAACTTAATGGAGTCCTATTGTCAAATTACGTGGCTAATCTAAAGCAGGCTCAAAACTTTGTTAAAAGTTGGTATGGTTTTTGAGGCTATAGAAATTCAAATTTTTCTCTTGTTTTGTTTTTAATCCTTTCCAGTACTTCAGGAGCTCTTAAGTGCCTTCTATTTCCCTGTGTATTTCAGAGGTGATTGGAGTCCTCCTTCAGTTTGTACTCAGTCTGCCTTTGATCTTTACCTGAGTAGCCAAAGTTAGGATAAAAGGCCTTTGGAGAGAGGCAGCACCTGAGATGCCATCAGTCATGCTCGAGCTCTGCACTGCACTCAAAACAAATGTGAAACCAGCTGAAGGCATGAAATCAGCGTGCATAGCTTGTTGCATCATGTTAAGCCATGGGTATCCAAACTGTTGGCTTGCCTGGGCCGTACTGAGTGAAGAAGGTTTGTCTTGGGCACATGTATGTAAGCCACTTCAAAAGAAATGCCTCCCATTTATTTCCATGGAAACAACAAAAGATACAAAGAGCACAATGACACCGATTGAACAGGATTCTCAGCTATCAAACATTGTTTTCTAACATAGTCAACACCATTAGCTATGCATTTTTGCCAGCAATGAACAAGAGACTGCATGGTGCACTTGTAAAAATCTGTACCAGCGGAGGTGATCCACTGTTGCTGTGGTCACTGCTGAAATGCACTGTCCATGCCTCACCATGCTCACATCCACTCGTTGGACTCTATGAACGTTCAGTAGGTGCTGACGAATGTCAGTAGGTGCCACTTTTTCAGCATGGAAGAATTCAGTGACATGCCTTTGCTTCATACGCACTTCCATGTCAGACCCCATTCTGTCAGACTGCCCCTCTGCTACCATCTGTCACACGGCAACAACATTTAATGGAATGGTGGTGGGAAGATTCAACCTCTACTGCCGTAACACCAACATCTGCCTCTAACACTGTGGGCAAACATCATAAAATGGGAGGCATTACTTTCTGATCAACTCTCATTAAACATACAATAAGGTTAATGTATAGAAGGTAACAAAACTTACTTTAGTTTTAGTGCTTTTTACTAAAACATATAAAAAAGAGAGAAATAAAACCATAGAACTTATGAGGTACGTAACCTTGTTTTTGTGAAACTAACACATCAGTCCAGTTCAGTGGCAGTGATTGCAAGCCGCAGTGAGATCTCAAGGTGTTCATCAGAGATTTCTGATGAAATTTTACTCTTTCTGTACGTCATCGTTGATTCGCAAATGTACGTACTGCCAAAAAGTGGTTACATGAACGAGGTCTGGCTGTGAAGTGAGGAGTATTTCTTTCTAGTAAGAAGGGGCTCATAGAAGTCTGGTAGAGAGACACGGTCACATTTTCTTTTAAGTTGTATCTGATTGCAGCTCTGTACATTCGATGTGAAAATTAGCAGGTAATGTATTTATGTCAACTGAAAGTGGAGTCACAAATAAACCAAAGAACTTACTTTTTTTTTTTTTTTTGCAATCTTAAAACTCATATTTCTTTATGAAAATGTAAAGCATGCTGCATCTGTTTTGCTGTTCACAGGGCTGTGTTTAGCCAATGTATCAAAGCTCATGACCTTACTGGCTACGACTTGGGCTGGCACTGCACAACGCCCCGTGCCCTGGTTTCAACACAGAAGGGGCTCACAGCACACCAAGGTTGGTGTTGAGGGCTGGGCTGCACGGCGGGAAGAGCTGCCGCCATGACGGCGTGAGGCAGGGCCAGCCACACTGCCAGTTGGGCCGCAGGTTGGACATGGCTGCACTTCAGTATGTCTTTATTTGGAACTGCTAAGCTACAGCTTTTGAGATCAGAGGAATCATCCTCACAATGTTTAGTGTGCTTTAAAATCATAGAACCATAGAATATCCTAATTTGGAAGGGACTCATAAGGATCATGGAGTCCAATTCCCGGCTCCATACAGGAGCCAAAATCCACCACCCAAAATCCAAACTCAATGTCTGACAGTGTCCAAATATTCCTTGAATGCATGAGTCTCTTCGGATTTCCCTTTGGTTGCCTATCCGTGGTCACTCAGGAAGATTATTTGGTTTCAAAAAATCTTCCACTTTGCTGCTGATTTCTTTCCCAGGCCCTCCAGGATTTTGACACAAAGCTCCAAATGCCAGCAGTAAAGTGCCATCTGTTGTTCACAGAGGTGTGCAAAGTTTCTTAACGTCTTATCCAAAGATACTACACAGGGATCTATTGTGCCAACAAAGTTGTAACAAGATACTGAACACCACATTTGGAGAGATAAACCTATGGGGTAACAGGATTAAAATACTTTTAAGGAACAGAGAATGAAAGCTTTAGGACTGAACGTAAGAAAGTACGAAGCTGAAAGCTAGAAATTATATGGTTGTCTTTAGGATTTGTGCATGGGATATCAGTTAACTATTGAACTTGGAGTAGCACTATTACTGGTGTTATGTTATCAGCAGGAGATATCAAAGTCAGTGCAAAGATAACAAAATGAGTTAGAAACAATTTATTATAAAGCTGTGAAGCAAATCTGCATGGTACAGTTACACAAACAGATTTCAGGAAGCATTTAATATGAAAATGCTGAAGTTTTCAACCAGATGTTTTGCAAGGATTTAGTTTCAAGCTTCCCTAGGAACATTAAAACAAAAAAGTTTTATTGCATGCAGACATGTAATATATCAGCTTTCATCCTGCAACTGAAAAGAGCAGGGTTCTTGTGTATTTTCATCTGGTTTGCTTAAGCATCTTTGTCATTCAGCTCTGTATCTGCTAGTTAAAGAGTGGTTGCTTGTTGGAAACTACTCTGGATTTTAACGACATTAATGGCTGAATAATGAGTGAACAGTTTGTGAGGTGCTGAAGAACTCTTGAAGATGCTG